CCCCAGCAGAGATGCTGCCGCCCCAGCAGACCACGCCATAAAAGATAGCAGAAGCCACCACAGAGTCATAGAAGGTCTTCAGGAGTGGGCCCTCCACTCCAAACGACCTGAGTCTCCGCAGCAGGTACAGCCTGCTCTGCCCTTTCCTGTAGAGGGCGTCTGAGTTATGAGTCCAGTCCAGTCTATTGTTCAGATGAACACCAAGGTACCTGTAGCTGTCCACAGCCTCAATGTCCATACCTTGGATGTTCAGTGGTTGCAGTGGAGAATGCTTGTGCCTGTGGAAGTCTACCACCAGTTCCTTGGTTTCACTGGCGTTGATCTGGAGGTAGTTCAGCTGGCACCAGTCCACAAAGTCTTGGGTCAGACCTCTGTACTCCTTGTCGTCCCCATCAGTGATGAGGCCGACTATTGCAGAGTCATCAGAGAACTTCTGCAGGAAGCACTGGGTGGAATTGTGGGAGAAGTCTGCAGTGTAGATGGTGAAGAGGAACGGAGCCAGAACCGTTCCCTGTGGGGCCCCCGTACTGCAGACGACCCTGTCCGACACACAGCCCTGAGTCCTCACATACTGTGGTCGGTCGGTGAGGTAGTCCAGGATCCAGGTAGTGAGGTGATGGTCCACTCCAGAGTTCTCCAGCTTGTCCTTTAGAACCGAGGGAAGAATGGTGTTGAAGGCACCGGAGAAATCAAAGAACATGATTCTCACAGTGCTTCCAGCGGTCTCCAGGTGAGCGAGGGAACAATGTAGGAGGTGAATGACGGCATCATCCGCTCCAATGCCAGGCTGGTAGGCAAACTGAAGTGGGTCCAGTGATGAGCTTGTTAGGCGCCGAAGCTGAGCCAGGACCAACCGCTCCAGGGTCTTCATCAGGTGGGATGTCAGAGCCACCGGCCTGTAGCTGTTGAGGTCCTTGGGGCGTGAAGTCTTTGGCACTGGTACAACACAGGAGGTTTTCCAGAGCTGTGGGACTCTTCCCAACCTCAGGCTCAGGTTGAAGAGGTGCTCCATCACCCCACACAGTTGGTCCGCGCAGGACCTGACGACCCTCGAGCTGATGCCATCTGGACCCGCTGCCTTCTTGCCATTAATCCTCCTCAGTTCCCTCCTAACCTGGGTGGTTGAGAGAGACAGGCTGGAGCCTTGTGTTGAGTGTGTATTGGATGCTGTTGTTGGGGGTGGGGAGGAGTGAGCAGGGTGAATAGAGGAGGTGTGAAGTGTCTGAGGTGGAACAGCAGCAGTGGGGGTGGGTGAGTCTGCAGCCGATGTTGTAGACTGCCTCATGGCTGAATCAAATCTGTTGAAGAAATGATTCAGTTCATTTGCCCATCTCACATCCCTCCCAGGCAGAGAGTTCTGCTGTTTGTGGCCTGAGATGGTTCTGAGGCCTCTCCAGACTTCACCAACGTTGTTTTGTTGAAGCTGGTTCTCCATCTTCTGCCTGTAGCTGTCCTTCCCATTCCTTATCAGTCCCCTCAGCTCTCTCTGCACCCTTTTCAACTCCTCTTTGTCTCTGGATTTGAAGGCCCTCCTCTTCTGCTTGAGGACAGTTTTAATTTCTGGGGTAATCCAAGGTTTGTTGTTGGAGAAACACCGTACAGTCCTGGTAGGTACGGTGTTATCCACACAGAAGTTTATATAGTCAGTAATGCATGTAGTAAGGCTGTCGATGTCCTCACCGTGGTCGTCACAGATCACCTCCCACACAGTCGACTCAAAACAATCCTTAAGAGCCTCCTCGCTCTCCTCTGACCATCTCTGTACTGTGCGGGTGGCTGGTGGCTCCCTGCGCACTAAGGGCTCATACACAGGGACAAGGTGCACCAGGTTGTGGTCAGATTTGCCCAGTGGAGGGAGAGGTGATGAACTGTATGCCTCTTCTGCATTGGCATACAGTAAGTCCAGTGTTTTATTGACTCTGGTTGGGCAGGTCACATACTGGGTGAAGGTGGGCAGTGTGGAGTCCAAAGAGGCATGATTGAAGTCCCCTGATATTATGAGAAGGGCTCTCGGTGATTGTGTTTGCAGTCTGCTGACCACTGAGTGGAGAGAGTCACAGGCTGCATCCGCGTTGGCCGAGGGGCGGACATACGCTGTTATCGCGATAACATGCGAGAACTCCCGGGGCAGATAGTACGGACGCATGCTAACGGCTAACAGCTCAATGTCTCTGCTGCAGAGTTGCTCTTTTACAGTGATGTGCCCAGGGTTACACCATCTGTCGTTCACAAAAACTGCCAGTCCCCCTCCTTTCCTCTTACCGCTGTCTCTGGTCCTGTCCGCTCGCAGCATCTGGAATCCCGGTAGTGTCACGCTTGTGTCCGGAGTTAGCGATGTTAGCCACGACTCCGTTAGCATCATGATGCTACATTGCCGGTACTCCCTCTGTGACCAGGTTAGCGACATGAGCTCATCCATCTTATTGGGCAAAGATCTTACGTTTCCAATGATTACAGAAGGAAGAGATGGTCGATAACGTCTCCTTCTCGGGCGACGGCGCTCCTTCCCAGCACGACACCCCCGTCTTTTCCTCCTCAGCTCGCTGGGAATATCGGGTCTGTCCGCCGGCAGTACCGCTGCAGGACTCAGCGCTAACAGCTGATCCTTACTGTAAACAAAGGATCTCTGCTCTGGGTCCCCAGACACGGGTGAAAAAAGTAGAAATAAACTGAGAAAAACGACCAGGACTAGCACAAAACGGTAGAACATGGTTGCAGAGTCTAATTACTAGTGATGGCCCGCTTGAAGCTGACGCTCCGGAGCGTGTGTCGAAAAAAACAACACACTGGTTCAGAAGCACTGTGTCGAGGCTTGCTTCGTTTGGCAAAAGTCACGTGACCAGTGACGTCCGAAGCTTCATTACGCACGTAACTGCTTCGGTACCTGATTCAAACGGATATAAGGAAGTGAATCATCCACGGGATTCGTGGAGTGTGTTGATGGTGACAGATAGCGACGAGGTGATCATTCCACTGACAGATATGGAGCCAGCGAGGAAGAGAGGACGTTCTGGCGTGTGGGAATATTTTGAGTTGATTTTGCTCAATTCATTTTATCTGCCGAAGTGAAAAACTTGAAATGTCCAAAATCATGTTTTCATAATGTAAATATCATTACAGCATATGACTTTAGGAACACTTCCATGTGAATTAAAGCTAATGAAGACTACAAAAATGTATTTGACACTATACGTACATTACATTGCTACAGTTTAGAAAATCATTTTGTTTATTGTTTTTAGGTGATAGTCTGCAGGACCCAGGAATACCTGCATATCTACCAGCTTGCAGTGTAGTTCCTGCACTCCACAGCCTCTTCTGTTCCATGCAAGTGGATTTTCTTCAGGGCAGGAGAAACTATTTCTAAGAAAAGAAACAGACTCAGCCAGCGCACAGTAACACTAATCCTCTTTTTAAATGTAAATAACAAAAGGGCTACCTTACATTGATCATGTTTTTACTTTGCAAGTTCTTGATTAGGGGTGGGTTTTGATTATCGCTTTTCTGATTACAATCCATGCTAAATTGAATGAAGTGATATTGATTCATTACAATCCTGCGTCGATTTGTAAATTAACGTTATTATGCCTGAAACGCCAGCATATCAGGTTAAACCTCACAACATGTCGTCAAACACCATGCAGCTAAAACAGTACCTGGGAGCAGGTTTACGGATTCTGCATACAAACGTGAACACAGAGCGCGGACCCGACGCGTCAGAGTCAGATTTTGATGTGTTGTCAGGTCCGCGCTGTGTTTGCCTCTTTTTTTGCGCTGGCTTCTGCAGCTGCAGGTTTCATAACTCTCTGTTTACATCTCTAATTAAGTCTCACATGTGTCAGCTTTCTTTTAATAGATACGAAATTATGGATATATACTGTTAAATGACCAGAATTGTAATATTTCTGTCTGAGGCAAAACTTTCCAGATTCCAATCAAATTGAATCGGATCCTGTATCGAATCAAAAATGATTCTACAAATCAGTGACGATGCAGCCGTACTCAGCTTCCTAAGCATTTTCCCTTTCCAGTTCACAATCAATCCCACCCCTAGGTCAAAAATATGTATAGGACAATTGGCCTAATCTAATATTTTGTATGAACCTGTCCAGCTGTGATTAAACGACAAGTAGATGGAGGCAGGACTCCACAGCAGGGGCATACTCCATAATGTGCTGTGTGTTATCATATGTATATTATATATATTGCTCACTTATTGTATTTACCAACATCAAGGAGTTATGAGCAAAGAAAGGCCACACCATAGTGCATGTTTAAATAAATGTATTAAATAAATAAATGTTTAAATAGGGAAAGTTTATTGATCAAAATGTATTACGCAGATACGCATTACATTTTTTTCAGCCCCCCAATCGAGAAAACAAAACCAATTACATGTTCAAAGCAATGGAACGGTGGCCCAATATCAGAGAGAACTCCACTCTTGAGTGAGCAGCGATGATTGAGCAGTCCGTTTTATTTTGCAGATTCAAGCTGCTCTTCAAAATTTTCACCACCAGATGTCACCGGAGAGGACTGTGTTGAAAAGCTTCGAGTAATGAACCGTTTTTCAATACAAGCTTCAGTGCTTCGGAAAGCTTCATTTGGCCATCACTACTAATTACTAATACGTTAGTTATAAAAAAATTACGAGAAAAAAGATAAGAAAGAAAGAAACTCAGAATGAGCAGAGCTGCTGTAACAGGCTGCCGCACTTCTTAAACACATTTGTGTTTAAGAAGCTTAAAAGCTGCGTTTCGTTTCATTTGCTTCATTTTCAGATGAAACCTCATCAGACTCCTTTAACCAAAACCAGGACAGACCGCTGCACACGACAAGCACCACCCTGTTTTCAGACAGACCCCTCTCTAAAGGTCAAAGTGACCTGGTTCCTCTGTGAACTTTAAACCACACCTGTCACTCTGTGTCCTGAATCAGCAGATATCAAACAGCTGACAATAGTAAACAACAGTCTCCACCCAGCTGATCGTGACGACACAGAGGGCGGAGGCAGAGGGCTGATCACAGGACAGGATCCAAGCATGAGAAACAGCTGGGACACATGGGAACAGCGGAAGTAAACAAAGAAAGGCGGAAGTATTGTTCACTTTCCTCGCGTGTGGCCGAGCTGAGTGTGTGAGCTGCGGCAGCAACGATGCCTTCAGTTCAGTATCTGAGAGAGTTCATCAACGAGCGACTAACTGCTGCTGCTGAACAAATATTCTTGGAGTTTGAAAAAACGATCGTCCAGTACGAGGAAGAGATCGACCGTCAGCGCAGACTGCTGGATATCACCTGGAAACCCCAAATCAAGCTGCACAGGACAGGTGAGTGTGAATGAGCATGCGTGGACTGGCGGAGGATCTTCATCGTTAGCTAACAAAGGAAACGTGTCGCTGAGCACGTGGAAGCGCAAATGTTGCATTTTGAGAAAAAAAATATTTTGAGCAAAGAAAAGTTTAATTAATTTCTGCGTGCAGGAAATGAATTTCAGTGTTTGCTGTTATCCACATACACACAGTAACAGCGCCTCCGCTCAGATCTCTGGCTGTTACATCTCCAATCAGCTCCCTAGCTTACTGCATTCCGGAAACACGGTCCAGAATGAGGCTGGTCATCCGCATTCAGTAGTGATGTGGATACCAGTGATTTCCTTTCCGATACCAAGTAAAATTCAGGGCGGTATCGACGATACTGATCCGATACTCTTTACAAAAACTTATTTTATTTATTGTATCTCAAATTATAGCGTCATCATGATTACAGGACATCAGATTACTTGTTCTTATCACTTAATAATGCAGAGTGCATCATATGGAAATAAAAAAGTTGTGCTATTTGAACACGTTGCCTGCCTGCAGCACTAAAGGACTCCGTGAGAGACGTCTGTCTCGCCCCAGCAGCACCTGTCCCTGTCCTCCTCTTCAGTCTCAACATACGCGCGTCATATTCTGTGGTACGATTTACTCTGAGGTGTTTGACAAGGTTAGTGATGTTGCCACAACCAAACATGCCAACCCTCCCGATTTTCCACCCGGACAACAAAATTGAAAAACCATATCCCAGAATTCATAGCGCGGCCCAGCCAATTCCAGTCTCCAACAACGGCGGCAGCGACTTAGTTTTAATATCACTCTTATTTCTCTTTCTGGGTCGCAAAAAACTTTTAACAAGTTTTCAGGCCAGAATGTAGCTGTGTGAACTTGAAACATCTGAGCCGACACGTCGTCTTCAAAGCCCCGCGGTCTGTCGCTACTCGGGTCAAACATGATGTGTAAGTCACTTTGATAACTTAAAAATGTTGTTGGGCTTTTTCAGTGTTTCATTTGTTCGTGAGTAAATCGGTTTGGCTGAGATTAAAGTTATTAGATTAAATTAAACTTTATTAATCCCTCGGGAGGGTTCCTGCGGGGTTTCACACAGCTGATAAAACAGAAGAGTTTACGTCAGCGCCCGGTTATATTTAGACAGCAAGGAGCGGACGGCAGCTTCACTCCACCGAGGGCGCTCGTGGAGCACGTATGCCCGCAACACCTCACTTTTCTGCCACATGTATCCAAACCACGTCTCAGCTGTTTGTGGAGGTAAACTACGTCCACACGTGACTCCGACTACGCTCAGCCGTTGTTGTGAGTGCGCACGCGGCGAGACATTTACACAGCCGTATTTCACTCATGACTATGAAAGGCGGAAGTAGTTCCTTTGAATGTAGACAATCCGAATGTTATAGTTTCTTTCCACTGTGTTGCTGTTAATGATAAACTACAAATATACCTTAAATTACTAAAATATCGATATTTTAATGTGAGAATCGATTCTAGAGCAGCGGTCTTCAACCTTTTTTGCGCCACGGACCGGTTTATGCCCGACCGGTCTTTAAGGTGTCGCGGATAAATACAACAAAATAAAACTAGTACCAGTACCGAAAAAAAGAAAATTTATTCATAACACACGTGAAAAGACCCAGGAAAACCAAGTTAACGATAAAAACGATAACAAAATAACGCTGAAAACCGATAAAAACCCTGAAAACTGTACATTTCACACCTGAGCCTCAACTCTCACGGCCCGGTACCAAACGACTCACGGACCAGTACCGGTCCGAGGCCCGGGGGTTGGGGACCCCTGTTCTAGAACATAAATGACTGGTATCGGAGGAATCGATATCTCAGGATCGATACGCACATCACCAGCATTCATAAGATCCGGTGTTAGAGGCGCTCAGCTGCATGGGCGAACACGTGATCCCACCCTGGCTGACATCACAGGGGGCAGATATCCCGCTTCCCCAGTTAACCTGCATCTCGTGATGATTCTCCCAGTAAGAGAGAATCCTCACCATGTATCCAGGAACAGGTTTCCTGTGGTTTGCTCGATCAAAGGCATTAATGAAACACATGAGGATAGATGAATATGTGACCCTATACAAACCGACTGTTTCAATACGCAGCACTGAGTCTGGATGGATGCTGTGAATCACAGGGTGCTAGGGCAGGAGCTAGCCTTAGACTAGCATGCTTTAAATGTTCTTTACTGTCAGAGAACCTTTGAATGGTTTGATTTAACGATTCCAGCTGAGTGTGAGCTACAGCTGAGCTTATATGAAAACTTGCATGTGCACTTAGAAAAGGCTTGAAATGCCTCAAACTTCATGCAGGCTCAGGTCTGTCTTGTCTTAGAAAAACTCAGTTTTCCAACAAAACCTGGTCACACAATCATGTTATGAGTCAGGTCAACAGTTTCCCACCTTTAGAATTATTATTATTTAAAATCATTCCATTAGTTATGTTTTTCTTTTATCCCTTTTGTTGCTCCAGAACTTAGACAGAACTGTGACATTAACCAGGAGAGGAGCTCCAGTGTGGAGCAGGAGGAACCAGAAGCTCCACAGATTAAAGAGGAACAGGAGGAACTGTGCAGCAGTCAGCAGGGAGAGCAGCTGGGACTGAAGGAGGAGCCTGAAGTTCATAATGATCCTGTGCAGTACGAGGAAGAGATGGAGCGTCAGCGCAGACTGCTGGATGTCACCTGGAAACTCCAAATCAATGGTAAATGGCCTGTATTTGTAGCGCTTTGCTTAGTGCCTAAGGGCCCCAAAGCGCTTTACGCTACATTCAGTCATCCACACACACAAAGCTGCACAGGACAGGTGAGCGTCCCTCTGAGGGAGCATCCTGATCACAGCTCTGTGGGACATGAAAGCTGCAGAGATGTTTCAGGAGGACAGAAGGTGGATGTGTGACTCCTCGACCAGTCGTCGCTGTTGTTACTAGTCGGTACCAGACGTAGTCGTTTAATCTGATCATTACAGTTTTAATAACTGATGTCGTTCAAGTTTTGTGTCCTAATGTTCTGCAGCCATCTGCCACCAGGTGGCGCTTCGCTGTTGAGATCGCCTGATGTTTCTGTGAACAGAATGAGATCGCAGATACAGGCGGTGCAAATGGACAGGCTCCGCCTCCGCGGTTGGCGAGCAGTTCATTCATCCGTGGGCCGCTGCTCCTCCACAGTGAAAGGAGACGGCTAAGGCCGTCGGCTCCTGGGTGAGGCGTTCTGTCTGGGCGTCTCCTACCTGTAGGAGGCCCTGGAGTAGACACGCCGGAGAGGCGCCATCTCTCTGAGGCCTGGAGCGCCTCCACGTCTCCCCAGATACGCAGGAGGAGGCGGTGAAAGCGAGGTCCGAGCTGCCCTGCTGCCCCCGCCACCCGACTTCAGACGAACAGTAGAAAACGTCTGCGTGATTTATTGTTATTTCAGACGCAGCGGTGGAGTTTCCAAACAGCTCACGCTGCGCCGTGGGCCATCAGTTCAGTTTTCACAGCTTAGTCTGTCACAGTTTAATAAGACGTGTTTGTAGTGACATGCTGTCATGTTTAAGCGCAGTTGAGCGCCACGACTGATTCATGAACAGCGTGATGAATGCCTTCATGTTAGCGTTAACGTGTTCTCCGTGTCTGAGTGCTTCTTAGTTTTGGATTCGTCGCTTGGTCTCCTCGTTTCGCTGAATTCGTCACCAGGAAGGTTCCTGGTTTTAAGGGTTACAAAGGCACTGCGTACATCGCCATGGTAACTGATGGACTGTTGCATGGTAACTAAGAGAGCATTCAGGGTCACCTGATCCAGGACTAACTTTAAGCACTGTTCAAAGCTGATACTCAGGGCTGGATAATCTTAAAAGTCGAGGGTGTCTGTCTCCTGAGGGGCGTATTGGCAAGAATCCGGTGATCCAATATGTATCCTGATACAGGGTAGACGATACGCTGCGATACTAAAAGCCAGACGATGTTTGTGAAATTAAACTCGCAGTAAACAGTCCAAACTGTTAAATGATGACATGAAACATCTGAAACAAAAACACTCCAAGTTCAAAATGAACGGAGAAATTAACTTCGGCCTTATTAGAAGTTGTGTCAGCTAAAGAAACAAAAACTGCTTGACTGAAATATCAACTATTTCTTTAACATGAACACAGTAACCGTGTCACACTGAGGTCTATGATTGTAAAGTGCTTATCCAAACACTGCTCAGTGGAGCATCAACACAAAGCACTTTTCATGTGACCTTAACAGAAACAAATATGAATCAAAAATGAAACTGCTTGAAGAATCCAAGCAAACATTAACAATGTAAAGTGCTATTAAAGTCAAGTGCTAATAAAATAAAGTACAGCCCTGCAGTGTCCATCCGTGGAGCACTTTTAGTACAACCTGAAAAAGAGAATTTCCTCTTTTAAATAAAAGTGCTCATGAGACTCAACCAAAATATCAAACATCTCAGATCTGAGGTTTTACATGTTGCAGTGTTTTCTCAGTGATTTCCACATTTTTGTGCAGGAATACAAGCGGATCGACACGCTCTCAGGACACTTCTCTGTGCATTTACTGTCTGCTGCAGAGAGAAAGCTCCCTCTGGCCCTACCAACCGGCTGTTTCATCGCCTGCGTGTATGCACATGTCGGTGCTTTGGTTTGAAGCCGAACTGATTATCCAGGGAAGCGATGAACACACAATCTAGCACCGTCGATAAAATACTGTCCAGTGCAATCGGCCTGTAATTATCCACACAGCTCACTTTTGCAGCTTTGTCCTTGGCACAAGTAAAATACACATCATTGAGTCTGGTAGTATGTCACAAGCTTGGCATGAAGAGGAGCCATCATGGACAGGCCAATCATGGCATGCTCTCCTCTGACATCACCAGGGTGGCGTCCTTCATAGGCTTCAGCGCCCTGACAGCTTCTGCACATGTGATGTCAATTTATTTTTCGCTCTTCCTGACTTCTGCAGAAAGCAGAGCCGCACAGATGGCTGGTTGCTGTTCTAAAAATTGTTCTATCACATCATAGGAGCTGTTCCATCCCGTTCAATCCTATTCAGCCCCAGCGTCAGTTAGTAACGCTGCAATGTGCTCACCTGTGTGACTGTCATGCATGGCTCTGAGTACATGAGGCTGAAGGCTCCACTGGTCCGTTATGTGCTGTAACAGTCACGTACGATTCAGCGGCTCTCGAAGTCCAAGCGTCGCATGTCAGAGCAACTGTCTCTGCCGAGCTGAGGGAGTCCGGCACTGTCGCTTTGACTTTGGCAGAGCGATGTCCGTGATGTAACGGCGCTCCAGCGTTTTAATCACATTACGAAATCCTTTATTCTCCACAACACTCAGAGGGCGCATGTCTGTGCAAATAAGAACAAGTACTGACTGCCTTATTTTTGTTGCACGAGTTGAAGTTCCTGCTCCATGTTTGAAAAGTTAACTTCTTCAATTGTCCGTTGAGCGGGGTCGCCTCGTTTTAAAATTAGCATTTGACGCAGCGTCGCTATGGTGTCTACACACGTGTGTTCGTAAATCTGTTGTGTTACTGGAATATTTGACTCTGGCGGTGCAGATTTTACAGACTGCGTAGCTCTTGTCAAAGTCTTTACCGCCTTCTTTTGTCCTGAATCCAAAATAAGTCCACACATCAGCTTTGAAAGCCGCGGGCGCCGGCTGTATCCTCTGCTCTTCAGTCATCACCAGCGCTGGGTAAGGCACTTTAGTAACTTGGTTACATTACTAGTTATTTCTATCAAAAGTAACTCAGTTACTTCAAGTTACTTGTTACTTTCAAAGTAACTAGTTACTAGGGAAAGTAAGTTTGGTTTTACTCAGAATTCTCTTGTTAACGTGCTGCTTCCCTAACTGGATACCCAGCCAGACTGCCAGTCTTCTAGCTCGCTTACATGTTAGCACTGTCCTGCCACACGTGCACTGTGCCACCTACCAACAGAAAGGAAAAAATCAAGTGCATATTCCCACGAGAAAAATCCCACGCCTGGACCGTGGTCGACTGCCGCCATGATTCTAGCCTACGTCACAGCGTCACGTGTGCTTTTCACATCCAACAGGAAAACTGCAGTCGTGGTGCTTCAGAATTCAACATTCTTCATTTGTCCCGTGCACGGTTATACAGGTGCAACACGCAGTGAAACGTGACCTGATGCGCTCCTCGACTGTGCAAAGAAAAGACAGACACAGAACTTTATATACAGTGAATGAGTACATACAAGGAGGACATTATGTGCAGCAAGTGGGCGAGTTATGTACATTATATAAATAGAAATAAAATAATCTGGAAATTTACAGCTTGTGTACACTGCGTGAGGAGGGTGTTAAAGTGTCTTGTGCTGTAGCGAGGCCAGAAGGATCAGGATGATGTGGTAACGAGTCCTGTCTCAGTCACTTAAGGATGATGGGGGGGATTCAACACACGAATGGCCTGAGGATAAAAACTCCTCGTGAGCCTCTTGTTCGGATGGTGTGGAACCGTCTGCCTGATTTCAGAAGCTGGACCAGTTCGTTGCTGGGATGGGACGGGTCCAGCATCTCCTGACGACTATGACTTTTGATTGTACTCAGAACTCGGAAATTCTGCCCTCAGAGTAGGAAGATGTAGGAAACACCAGACTGCAGATGAGCTGCACACAGTGCTGGACTGGGACAAAAACTGGGCCCGGCGTTTTGACTGGAGACCAGCCGCCATTATAGGAAAAATCCCGAAGCCTTTGAATGAAACGCTGTGGTGACTGTGATGTACAGTCTTGTTGGTATATGTGTGATTTCTATACATTTTACGTCAGATAAAAACTTTGGTTGTAAGATTCAGATAATTATTTAATAACAGACATTTTAAATGAGAATAAGAAAGTATGTCTTTGTGCCCCCCTCTCCCTGTTAATGCCCTACCTGCCCCCCTGCACAGTTACCAGCTGTCAGCTGCTTAGAAAAGGATCCTGGTGTTATTTGTGTCTCAGAAACAGTTCATAACTTCCCGCTGGTTTCCTCTTTCTGGTGCAAAGTGGGCGATAAATAAACAAGAGAGAAAAGCCGATCAGCTGATCATTGATCAGTTTCATGATTGAAGTAGTAACAGGAGAGGGAGGGGAGAGAAGAAGAAACAGCTGACAGTGTAAACACAGAATAACTCCAGCTTTGTGTCTTTTTCATTGTAGCTGAAGTCCGGGACAAACTGTTCCTTTTCAGCTCAACACGAAACGACGATTCTGTTTTTACGGGACTGTTGGCAACTCTACTAACGAACCTTATGAACAAAATAAAGTTCACTATCAGTAACATCATAGCACCCACCCAGCTGTATAGAAACTCCGTCATGCTAGCTAGTAGCAGTACGAGCTATTGTAACTGACTGTAAAAATTCAGCACAACGAAAATAAACTCCACCTAAACTTGGTTTATATCTGACCCGGATACACTGCAGGTCACAACTTCTTACCTGAAGTTCAGTTTAGAGCTGCCACGATTAATCGACTATTAAATCGTCAACGACTGATTTCCTGTTTTGGCTTCCCTTCATTGGCTTCCTGTTAAATCCAGAATTGAATTCAAAATCCTGCTCCTCACATACAAGGTCTTAAATAATCAGGCCCCATCTTATCTTAATGACCTTGTAGTACCATATCACCCTATTAGAGCACTTCGCTCTCGCTCTGCAGGCCTACTTGTTGTTCCTAGAGTATTTAAAAGTAGAATGGGAGGCAGAGCCTTCAGTTTTCAGGCCCCTCTTCTGTGGAACCAGCTTCCAGTTTGGATTCAGGAGACAGACACTATCTCTACTTTCAAGATTAGGCTTCAAACTTTCCTTTTTGCTAAAGCATATAGTTAGGGCTGGACCAGGTGACCCTGAATCCTCCCTTAGTTATGCTGCAATAGACATAGGCTGCCGGGGATTCCCATGATGCATTGAGTTTTTCCTTTCCAGTCACCTTTCTCACTCACTATGTGTTAACAGACCTCTCTGCATTGAATCATACCTGTTATTAACCTCTGTCTCTCTTCCACAGCATGTCTTTATCCTGTCTTCCTTCTCTCACCCCAACCGGTCGCAGCAGATGGCCCCGCCCCTCCCTGAGCCTGGTTATGCTGGAGGTTTCTTCCTGTTAAAAGGGAGTTTTTCCTTCCCACTGTCGCCAAAGTGCTTGCTCATAGGGGGTCATATGATTGTTGGGTTTTTTTCTCTGTATCTATGAAGCGCCTTGAGGCGACTTATGTTGTGATTTGGCGCTATATAAAGAAAATTGAATTGAATTGATTTAATAGTCGACGCGTCGTTAGAAGGTTTGTAAGATCACAAAAGACGCAGGAATAATAGCAGGATTTAAGAGTGTAATAACGGACTGAAACAGAAGATGGCAGCACTGCATGTACAAGGATGCCAGCTGCCGTTAAACCCCGAAGAAGAAGAAGCTGTGTCCCAGAATTCATAGCGCGGCCCAGCTCAGTTTCCAACAATGGCGGCAGCTAGTTAGTTTTAATATTACTCTTATTATTCTTTCTGGGTCACAAAATAAACGTTTAACATATTTTCAGGCGAGAATGTAGCTGTGTAAACCTCAAATATCTGCTCAGTTTATCAAGACACCACATATTTTCAAAAGCGCTCCAACGTTTTCGGAGACGTCTGTTACCCACTAGCTCGATAGCTAGCCGGGGCTAGGCTAACTAGAGCCGTGAGAACACCGGACTCCCGGCACATCGTTTTCAGACCCACCGCTGTCTTTCACTACTCAGGTTAAACATGATATATGAGTCACTTAGATAACTTAAAAATGTTGTTTGGCTTTTTTCAGTATTTTATTTGTTCCTGAGTAAATCGGTTTGGCTGAGATTAAAGTTTTTACACAGCTGAATAAACGTCAAGCAGACAGCTGATTATCAGAAGTGTGAGATGCTCGAGAGTTTACTCCGGTGTCCTGTTATATTTTAGATAGCAAGGAGTTTATTAAACTTCACCGAAACAATCTGCAAATGTCATTAAAATTGAATAAACTATCATCTTGTCTTTATTGTTAGTTAGCACCTTAAACACTTCAAGCTGTAAGCTAATGATAGTTCTATAAGAGCAGATGCTGCTGGTGCAATAAGCTGTACGTTGGATGATCATCTGATTAGTCGACTATCACAATAATCGTTTGTGGCAGCCCTAGTTCAGTTCACTGCCTCGGGTCTCCCCTTCCCTCATCCACCTGCTGACTCTGTGGAAGCTCCGTCATAGCCACCACCAAACAACTGAGTTACTTTTACACATCTGCCAGCATCTGGCCAATCCACCACCTTTCACTTTTTTTTCACCTTTATACTGTTACGGGGAAAAAAAAAAAGGAAAAAAAACCATCGGCCCACCGAGTCCAGCTATGTCTGCATATGTGTTTAGTAGTAATTTCTTTTTTTAGAGGGCTAGAAAAACAACCGTTTTCAAGGGCGTTGCCATATTGGAATCCCGAGTTCTCTGATGAGGCTAACCAGAACGCCATTTACTCGAGTGTGACATTATTCCCAGGTCTGTGTTCCAATTTAAGCCGAACGCAACACACAAAGTAACGAGTAACGAGCCTATCGAAATCCCAGTAACGATTAACGCGATCGTGATTTTGGCATAATAACCAGTTACCGTGCTCATTACCACAATAATAACTTAGTTACTGTAACGCGTTACTTAATAACGTGTTAGTCCCTAAACTGGTCATCAGTTAGCACAACTGGCCACACATCCACTGTTCTACTTTGGTTTTGGCAAACTAGACGCTTCTACAGTTATCGCGACACCTCGTTTTTCCGTCTACGTAAAGGCGGTAAAACTGCAAACTAGTGGCTGGAGTTTTAATTGCAACATACAAAAGAAATACACAGTAAATGCATGTAATTTTTTCAATTAAAAAAAAAAAAGATAACACTGATTTTGAATATCGATTCAGTATTATTACACGAAATATCACGATATTTCAATGTATCGATATTTTCTTACATCCCTATGTCTCCTGAATCCTCTTTGTCCTTCCAGACCTCGGACAGCAGCACATCTGTAAGGAGGAGGAGGAGGAGGTTCTCCCTGAGCAGCAGCTCTGGAACCAGGAGAGGAGCTCCAGTGTGGACCAGGAGGAACCAGAACCTCCACAGATTAAAGAGGAAGAGGAGGAACTGTGCAGCAGTCAGGAGGGAGAGCAGCTGGGACTGAAGGAGGAGCCTGGTACCTTCATGGTGACTGCTGCTGAGGAAGGAGAGCACAGTGAACCAGGAGGAGACGGGGAGCAGCTCCTCTGTGATGACTCTCCTCAAAGTGAAAGCACAGATGAAGAATCCAGCAAGTGTGAAGAGTCAGGGTTAAGTGAAACTGAGGAGCCGGTTCCAAAGAGACAAAAGAGAGACAGAAGTCGTGGTGTTGTAGAGAGCGCGCCTGTCTCAGAGAGTCCATGTAATGCTGCCACAGGTCGAAAGTCTGATGTTTCTAAGAATCAATCCCGGGGGAAAAAACACCATACCAATGTGAATTCACTTGTTTGCAAAATATGTGGGGGGAAATTTAGTAGAACCTATTTGGCTGTCCACATGAGACTTCACACAGGTGAGAAACCATATTCTTGTCATACATGTGGGAAACGTTTTAATCAAAGCAGTACTTTGCGTAGCCATGTGAGAACCCACACAGGTGAGAGACCTTATTCCTGCGATACATGTGGGAAAAGTTTCGGTCAGAGTGCTGCATTGTATATCCATAAGGCAGTTCACTCAGAAAGACTGTTTTCCTGTGATATATGTGGAAAAAGTTTCAGTCATAAAAACTATTTGCCCATCCACATGACCACTCACACCGATGAGAAGCCGTATGTTTGTGAAATATGTGGGAAAACGTTTGGTCACAGCTCTGTTTTTTACAGTCACAGGAAAATACACCAAAGTAGGGAATCGGTTTCTTGTGAAATATGCGGGAAAACATACTCAGAAAAAAGCGCTGTTAAACGCCACATGAGAACTCACACAGGGGAGAAACCGCATTCCTGTGAAATATGTGGGGCAAAATTCCGTGAATTGAAGAGTTTGAAAAGGCACAAGGAAAAGCACACGGGCGAAGGGCCGTATTCCTGTGACAAATGTGGGACGAGGTTCAAACGAGGCAATCACCTTTTCCTCCACATGGAAACGAAAATATGTGAGAAGCAGAGTTCCTCTGAAACAGGAGAAGAGTTTCAAAGAAATCATTCATCCACATGAGATGAATGATTTCTTTGGCAAGTTGTAGTAGAAATACCCGTGAACCGAAGCTTGAGGAACAAGGGTGTCATTTTTATGAGATTGGAGAAAAAACCCATAAATATGAGCACCAAACATTTTTTACTCTGGAGCTGTGATTCTGGTTTTATAATTTTTTTTAAATTGAAAGTGAGCTCGTGAGGATGGGCAGGGGGAGGTGCTCTTCTTTCCCAGGTTCACAAATTGCATTGTTGTTATTTTGTCATTTTTTGTTCAAATGTGTGAACTTGATTGAAAAATATGTTGGCGTAGTGTTTGTTTGATGTCGTGTTCCTGTTTGTGGTTTTATTGACACGCTGAAGCTGAAAAGCAGTTTTCGTTTGTTCTCATGCGTTTGTATTTTGTGATTTCATCAGCCTTCAGAGGTGATCCTAACAAACTGCCCCGGTGTAACCTGATGTCGTAGAACGTGCAGTGTAAATAAAGTTTGTTTCTCTCAGTTGCTGCCTGCTGTGGATTTATGATCCTTTGAAACAGCCTCCTCATAAAGCCTGTTTGAATGTGGAGACTGTGCAGTCAGAATGAAGCTTGCGGGAGGTTTTAATCTGAGTGTGGAGGAGGATGTGCTCTGACAGTAGGGATGGGTACCGGTGTCTGGTGCCATGATGGCACTGGTTCTGACATAAACGGTAGTAACCAGACCGAAAAGCAGCGAACATTTTGGTGCTTTATTTCGGTGCTTTTTTTTCCTGAGCTGTGATACACTTCTAGCCAATCATTTTACGTTTCCCAGGATAGTAGGCGGGGCCAGGTACGTACGTTCAGTTAGAGCAGAGCTACAGATTAAAAATGTCCAAGGCGAAGCGGTCAAAAGTCTGGTTGTACTTCACAGCAAAATATGCAAACTCAGCAGCAACAAGTGCTTTAAGCTGATACTGTGATACTGTCAAAGGAGGTAACACCAAGAATCCGATGAAACACCTGGCGACGCATAGCGTTTTTTTTTAAAAGCCAAGAAATGCGCCGTATTTGATAGCTTGCTGCGAGACCTCACACTGTGCACGTTGGGTGGGTTGCCAGTTATCGGACCCGGAGCAACATCCCCCAAAAACCCGAAGAGTAGAGTCCTGGCCCCTAGCCCTGCCAGTGTAGCAGGGATGATGAGGATGATGATGCAGCAGCAGCAGTTCTTCTCTGCGTGAGTAGCTTAATGTTGTTCGTGTGTAATTTACGTTGAGTAGGCTAACCACGTTATTACATTAATGCATGTAAGGTGAACTAGCAAACATCATCATAGCTACATGCGGCTGTCTTCTTGTTTGATGGCAGATACTCCCTTCACCCTGGCCAAAAAGGCTAAAATGACCAAAGAAAAAGTGGAAAACAGTTAAACATGAGAGGTTTTTGGACAAAGTTAGTGTTTTTTCCATTGTTTAAGCACTGCTTCCAGCCAAGAGTGATACCATATATGCCCCATAGCTGCAGAAAAGGCTAACATTGTTATCTTTTTACAAAAAACCAGCTGAACATGAGAGGTTTTTGGACAAAGTTTGTGTTCTCCATTCTTTAAGCACCGGTTCGAGCACCGTTTAAGCACCGGCACCGTTTCAAAAGTACCGATTTGGCACCGGTATCGGATAAAACCTAAACGATACCCATCCCTATCTGACAGTGCTGCAGTCACGAGCCTGTGCTTTTGAAACAGGTGCATTTAAAGAGGAGTGAGGAAGCTCATGGGAAACAAAGGCTTCTGCAGGTGGAAGCCACTGAAAAGTTTCTCACTAGTGTTGTTTTGTTAGGGTCGGTGTCACCACTTGTCGCGTGAGGTCATACCTGGATTCCACAGAGGTCGCACAGCCGACTCCTCCAGGTGTCGCATCGATATGAGTCAGTGGCAGAAAGTTTGCTTTGTCTTGCACTCTCAGGAGCACGGAGGAGGTTCCAGGAGAGCTGGACAGGGTCTTAGACGCCCTTTGACCATTATGAGGACCAACGTCTGCTGCTGTGTGCCACGATGCAAGATGAACACTGAGAGAGCTACGGTGTGACCTCGAGCGGGCTGTCGGTGTGACTGTGACCAAACCATCGGAAACAGGTTTAGTCACAAAGGTTTCAGGGGACCAGGCTTCAGACGAAGTAACAGAGTCTGGAGGGGAGACTGAGCCGGCACCGACATCAGGAAGACATTAAAATTAAAGGTGAGCCATTATTTTCTGCCCGGCTTCAAGAAGCTTCTGCTTTTCAAAGGTTCTAGAAAAATATCGTCTTTGTAAAACATTTTTAACTGACACCACTAAAAAGCATTAACTAGCTCGTTAACAGTGATGGGAATAACAGCGTTATTGAACTAATTACTATTCCTATTGTTACAACGCCGTTACAGGTACTAACAAGAATATGTGGTGCGGTCGTGCTACTATTTTTGAACAAACTGTGTTCAGCTTACTGCACCTTATATCAGCTGCAGGAAGTAGCTGTAAGTAATCTGGGCTGTCGCGCTCCCGCGGACGGTGATCACGATCACTGTCTAGCACAGGGGTGGGCAATCTCAGTCCACGAGGGCCGGTGTTCTGCAGGTTTTAGATGTGTCCTCGAACCAACACAGCTGATTTAAATGGCTGAATTAGCTCCTCAACATGTCCTGAAGTTCTCCAGGCCTGGTAACGAACTAATCATGTGATTCAGGTGTGTTGACCCTAGCACAACAGCAGTGCTGCTGTTTGACTGGTGCTGGTGGGGGGGGGGGGGAGATGCTGTGCTCGTTGGCAGCTGAACAAAACTCATCTGCTGTAAATGTAATCGCACTGCATCTGTTTACAGCAAGTCTGCTCACGTGCAGTGAAGCTGTGTGTGTGTGTTACGAGGCGTGCTGTCAGCAGTGGCGGCGTGCAGCCCTCATTATTCTGTCGACACGCCTTGTACGGTAACCCAGCCTGTGTGAGTGTATGCGTGGCTCAGCGCCAAGCGTAAGGCGCCACTTTACGAGCAGGATGATCTCACCTCGACCCTCCTCTGAACACAGCGTGCATTCAGCAGCGTGTGCAGCTGTGAATGGAGGGCTTGTCTCAGAGACGCTGGGGTGGTGGCAGCAGATGCGCGCTTGTTATACTGGAGCTGTGACTTAATTCTGGAGGTCGTCTCCAGCTTTACCGCCAGCTGCGAGCCAGCCGACGGCAGCGTGGACTGTTGACGAGCTGCTCAGCTAACAAGACGCAACATGTGAGCGGAGCGGCGCGGTTGTACTGGAAGATTTTCCCTCTGATTGTGTTTCTCAGAGGTTTTGTGCACAGCAGAGATGTGATCGCGCTGTGTTTGACACCACAGATTTACAGAAGACTTTTTCTTTCTATCCTCATGCTGAGTCTCCACTGCAGCAGCTTAATAACAGAACAGAATAAATGCAAAGCTGAGCGTAGCTCTGCAGGGCTCACAGATCAGTCTGCACAGTCCAGTCCTTGTACCCAACCTCTGACCTATGAACCATTCAAGCTTACCAAGCGTTTCGAACTCTGAACCGGTGTGGAGCAAAGAACCCATTTTAAATGTCGTTACCAGCAGCCTGTCACACAAGGACGCAGTTTGACATCAAATAGAATTAATGTACCAACAGGATGTTGCCCAGAGAGCACTGGTCAGAGTGGCGTGCGGCGCATCCTTTAGAGCTGCGGAAAGCCGCTGAAAACTGAAGCAGAGGAACAGGATCTGAAAGACCCGACACAGGAGCCGAGAGACCATCTAGACCTTCAGCGGATCATTTGCTGAAGCCTCATCAGAGATGTGAAAGGGTGAGGCTGTCAGGAAGCCATTCTTGGAGGATGAGGTCTAAAAACCACAGAAGAGCTGAAGGTCAGAGGAACAGGTCTGATGGAGCGATGGATCCACATCCTGGTCAGTGTGTACGAGGAGGTCAGGAGGAGGAGTCTGCAGCCATGCTCTGTCTTGGTTTCAGCTGCAGGTCAGTCGGTGGTGTTTGAGCCACCATGCAGGAACATCTGGAAACATCAGCTTCATGTTTCAGCATGACAGCGATCCAAACAAACTGCCAGTGCATTACAACCTGCATAGAAACACACAGGGGAACTCTGCCAGCATGGCTGGAGCAGAGTAGGATCATCCTGATGGGAAGCCCTCCAGGAAGCCTGGAGAACTGCTCCTGCAGATCCTCGCAGAGCTGACGGAGAGCTGACGCTGCTCACAGCAACTGTACAAACTCTGCTTTTGGCCTTTCCTCCTGAATTCACATGCATGTCTGCACATGTTTCCACTGTCTGAGTGAGCGTTTGAGTAGGAGCTGGTGTTTATAGGAAGCAGTCAGAGAAGGCTTGTTGGAGCGACAGAGGTGGAAGTGTCAGCGCGATGCAGGAGAACATCGCTCAGCACGCCGGCTTCATTTTCACCACGGATCAAATCCCAGTTCGTGCCCAGCGGGCCGTGCTGCCGGGTCTGCTTTTAGAGCTTGCATAGAAAGAAAACACCTGGGCCCGTATCCCTAAAGAATCTTTGTGCAAAAAGTGGCTCCTAGCGGCCAAATTCTAAGAAAATTCTCAGAGTCATGACGTTTTCTTACAATTTCCCCTAAAAGTGACACGATAATCCCAGTTAATATAAAAGCTATTCCTTAAGATTCCTAGCGCTTAAAAGGGCTCCTAAGGCGAGATCTGCTACGAGCAGGGAAGAGGACTTTTAGTGGCTCAGGAGTTCCCCTAAGCAGCTGCACAAAATGGCCAACAGAAGAGGCAGGAGAGATGTCCTGCAAACACTGGATGACAGGGAATTATTGAGACGCTACAGATTGGATTGTGCAGGAATCATGTTTGTGGTGGATCTCCTTAGAGATGCAATTACTTCACCAACTCGACGCCACAACGCTATTACACCGGAGACGAAAGTAATCACAACCCTGAGGTATTTGGCAACCGGGAAAATGCAGCAGTGATGACTTGGGTCTGCAATCACAAACATTGCTAAAAGCTGAGCCATGTTACCCTCGTTAAGACCACACTGGACTTGTAACGTTGTGATTTCTACTTCATTAAGGACAGCCCCTTGAGATAGGCCATCTTGTTTTCAACAGGGTCCATATGGGAGTGAAAGTACAAAATATGCCAGCTAGGATATTAATATGAGCAAATAAGACACAAATCATTATTTGAACAGGGTGTAATGAGTTCACATATTTTAGATTCTAATGGCTATAACCCCTACAGCTTACTATTCATTTTCCAGATATTTTCTTGAATGTGAAATATTATTTACAATTACAGTCAGCATAAGATTAGAGTGTATAATTATGTTTATTGATTTGAGGGTACATCCTTTGCTCATTATCACCAAAAGCTCATTTCCATCAAACTTGTAGGATCAACCAATCACGGCTTTTGAAATGATGACTCATACCTAGCAACGGGGTCAACCACACCTCCTCACTAAGATAGGATTTTCCATCCATTCCTTGCTCAGAGTTCACTGAAAATGTTCTGGAATCACTTCTAAGCTAAA